TGTGTTTCTCTGCATGACAAGATTATCCAGTATATCTAAATAATATCTGTAAACACTAGTGTGTTCCCTAATCACATGAATATTTTATCTGATTTACGATTTGAATTGTGTTATGATACTTGACCTGGATTCTGTTCTGATTTCTGATCTGGATTATGTTCTGATAACTGATATGAATTCTGTACTGATTTCTGATATATCCGTTTACTGACGGAAAAATCTTTTATTTGTGGGGGTTATTGTTGGGGTATCAGAGCTTAGGTTGAGTCAAGTTTTCTGGATAGACTGACCGGTCGAATGTTAAAAGATATCTGATTAGTACATGCCCCTAGACTACAATCGTACTTCTCTGAGCCGGAACTCCAAGGTTGAGTCATCTGTAACGAGCTAACGTAAGTTTTCTATCTGTTGGGGCTCTACCTTTGCATAAAGGAATACCAGTAACGTCTGTCTAAATTATGTATGGTACCTCACGAGTAATGTGAGAGTTACTCATCTGAAAAATTCTGACTCGACTCCAGAAATAAAATTGGGATATGTTACTGCTCAAACAACCTATTCTCGTAACCAAGGTCGAATTGATTCCATAAGGATATTTTCGTTTTGATTATTTTATTGGAATGAGGGAGAGTTCTGATAAGAATGTATACTCAATTGGTTAAGGATTAGTGGAGGATCCGTACTTCTGTAAAAGCTACTTGAAGATATGAAAGAACTGATGGAAGTTTCATTTCTGCAATTCTGTGACATGCATGAATTTCGAGGACGAAATTCTTTTAAGGAGGGGAGAATTGTAACACCTCAATTTAGGGGTAAATTATAAGTTTTTGAAACTAGGAGTCAGTTTTAGAAAAGTGTAGGAATTCATGGACTAAACTCATAATTTACCCATTTTTATTTAAGTGAGAATTATAAACCCCCTCACCCGTGATTTCTGCTTTTCCCAGATTCTTTTCCCCAAATTTCCTCCCTCGCCAACCCTCCTTTGAGCTCCGATTCTCCACCGTCCGGCCACCGTTCGTCGATCTGAAACCACCATCGTGTTCGGTTAAGGCTGGTGAATAAAACCCCTCAAACCACTCTTCGTGAATCGTCGCTGTTCGTCGTAAAATTCAACTCAAACTTTCGAAGTTTTTAAACTCTACCACCGTGAAAATCTTCGATTCGTCGTCGATCGTTGCTCCGTTGTCGACACCTTCCGCACCATCGTGTTCCTTACATCGTTCCGAGTTCTCCGGTGTCCTTCTTGTCTCCATCGTCGCCGGCGCGTGAGGGGTGAGGAAGCTAAAGTTTTTTACGTTTCAGAATCGAGCTCTCCGCCATTCAAAATTATGAACCGAGCTTTATAAGTGTCTCAAAATCCCTTAAAATTATTTTAGAAATTTTGTGGAATTTTTTCGATCGGCCTGCTCGACCCGCCTGACCCGACTGAGTCAACCCTTGTTGAGTCAACTCACTGGGTCAACTCGTTGACTTTGATCGGGTCAACTCGTTAACTTTGATCGAGTCAACTCGTTGACTGTTGACTTTGACTGAGTTAACCAATTGATCGTTGACTTTGACCAAAAAGTTAAATTTTTTGAAAATTCATATTTTATGTTTTTGATGTCCTCAGTCCAATTCTGAAGTCCATTTTGCTAAATTAGAACCCGATAAGTGTTTTTCACTGATTAATCACCCGATTCGATCCGTTTTTCATAATTAAACTCCATTTTTGATGAAATTTATATTGTTATGTATTTGAGGAATTATTGGAAGTTGAATTAAAGATCGAGGGCATTCGAATGGAACTTAAATGATCGATCAGTATGACATAGAAATCGAGGTAATAAATTACTACCTCTTTATACTTTATGAAACATGTTGATATTGATAAATGCATGAATAAGGAAATGTTTGGTCTTATCTGAGTAGTTAATTAATTCCTATACTCGATATGAATGCGGTAAAAAGTCTGTAACTGAATAAAATTTTGATGACTTATACAAGGATTTAGAAGTTTGATAAGGAATAATTTCAAGTTCAGATATTATTCGGAAAAATAATTAACCCTAAGATCTCTAAATTCTATTTATCCTTGTTAAGAGTTTTAATATCGAAATTACCTGGTTAAGAAATTAGGAAAATTCCCTTGAGAGGTAAAAATAGTTTGAGTTGACTCTGAATGAGATAGTACCTTGAGAATTTGTACCTAACCCGATAAATTACTGATTTAATTGTTAAGATCCTACTTTGATATAGAAAAATTCTTGATAATTCGTTTGTAACTTCTAAGAAGGCATTTGACCCGAAAATCTCTGAGTTATGAGTAAATACCTAAAGAATGATTTATCGATGGTGCTCTTTTGTCAGAATTGTTCGAGAGGACTGTAATAAATGATAAGTTTGAATTAAATAATAAGATCAGACTGAAGGAACATATTGACATACATTGGATCTGTAAAATGACCAAAATACCCCTAGAATGGAAATGACTCAAGAATATCACTAAGTCCAGGAATGAATGGATATCCTCAAGCTTTTAAATGAATGAAAAATCATTGAGCACCAAAATGACCAAAATGCCCTTATGGCATATAATGAGTAAATGTATTGGATTAATTAAGGAATCCAAATAAGCATAGGTGTTGTACTACCTTTAAAACTTATAGAACACAACTTAAGTAAGTCGATCAATCCTAATGCTATGTCAGTACGTGAATGACATAGATAATACTTGAGTGCATGTTCGTCTCCTTAAGTTTCGATCGATTATAATTCTGAAAGTACTCAGCTCAGCTCATCTCTAGAGTGCATGCATTATTAAGAAGTGAATATTCGTTATACAAATCAACCACGAATACCAAATTGAACTGAACTGAAGTACAATATGTATCTGAAATTCAAAAACATCTAAATTTCTCTAGAAAACCCCAAAGTAACTGGAATAAACTTGACTGCTAAATGAACTAAGTAACCTCAATGATTGAGGATTAAATAAGTGATTGAGATAAGCCTGAAAACTCAGAAGAACTTACATTATGTATTATCCCTATGGGTTATGAACCATAAATCAAGTATCAGCATTTCCTGATAAAGTTGAAACATGGAAATGAAATAAAGACCATTAGAATATATGTTCATCTCCTTAAGATCCATTTAGTTATGGCTCAGAAGATGATTTATGGAGAAGAATTGTTGTTATTAAAGAGTGAATACCTGGAAGGGCAACGAATGGACCAGTCAACATGCATTATTTTTGGGAGTTTTCAGCTTAAGTTATTTCGATAATCCGATAGATTGACACAGACTGTAAATGTCCTAAACCTTCATTTCTTCCTTATCAGCTCAAATCACATTCTGAATAACTAATGATTCTGTCATTTAATAAACTCTTACAATAGTGATTCTAACTTTTGGTATTTTATCGGTATACTGAAGATCCGTGTTTCTCTTCCTGACAAGATTATCCAGTACCTCTGAATAATATCTGTAAACACTAGTGTGTTCCCTAATCACATGAATGTTTTATCTAATTTTTTATTTGAATTCTGTTCTGATACCTAACCTAGATTATGTTCTGATTTCTAATCTGGATTCTGTTATAATAACTGATCTGAATTCTGTTTTGATTTATGATATATCCGTTTACTGACGGAAAAATGTTTTATTTGGGGGGTTATTATTGGAGGGAGTATATCTGCAGGCTCCTCGACTTTGTGCTCAGGGCCTTACTGGTTGTGTGGGTTGGGTGTATGATTCTGGGAAACATACACAAACAGATTGTGAAAGGATGAAGGTAGTGTTCATGTTTTTTTATATGTTTTAAATATATATATATATATATATATATATATATATATATGTATATGTATGTATATATGTATATATGTATGTATATATCTTTTCACTGGTTTTACGGGAACACACTAGATAACCTATTCTGATCTTCTGAACCTAGTCATCCGAAATATTTCCCTCTGAACTGAAAATTTCTGTCTGTTACTACCTGAGATATCAGTGAGACCTCATCTCAGCCTAAAAATCTGTATATGTCTGAACCAATAAGGAAATATATGCTTATCTGTTATCTTCACGTTCTTCAGCATTATCTGGTAGTTCTGTATTACTGAGCTTTCTAAAGCTCACTCTGTTACTCACATTTTCAGGTTAAAAGGATTGAACCAGCACAACTATCGACATTAGTAAGGGAGTTCTTCCGGCGTTGCTTGCAGTGTATGGTACATGTGATTATGGGGCATGTAGGTTTTGTTTTGTTTTATATACGAGTCTGAAAAATCTGTTTTATTTCTTAATACTAGTAAAGTTTACTTTTGTATTTATAAATGATTTTATGATTTTAAATGTTTTAATAAAAATTTTAAATTTTTTGCTATTTTTATGTTGGGTCGCTCCGGTGGCCCTAATGTGACACCCCAGATCGGATCAGATTACCCGCATTGGTCTGAGGGGGTTACACAACGTGTCACATTTAGATTTTAAAAAATATTTTTAAAAAATATTTTATTTAAAAAAAATCAAATTTTCTAACAATTTTTCTATTAAGTATAATTTAGAGACCTATTTTAACAAATTTTCTAATTGTAGTCACCTAAAAGTGTAACAGATAAAACATTAGACACATACTTTTAACAAAAAATTCTTTAGGTACAAAAAATCAACTTTAAGTATAATTTAGACACTTATTTTTCTATTAAGCCTTCAAATTATAAAACTAACTTAAAATTATTATATAGAAATTATTAATTATTTTTATTACGGGAAAATTATTTATTTTTAGACATATTTATGAAAAAAATTAAGATTTACTGAACAATGCAAAATAAATAAATAAATAAATAAAAGTTATTTTTGTAAGAAACAAAGTCTAAAGAGAAATGGAGATTCATTTATTACCATAATTTGAAATCCAAGCACATAGTTTACAACAACTGAAACAGCGAAACCAAAACAAAGCTTTGACAATCGAATGAACCACGACGCCGCCTTCGACTCTTCTTTCTTGATTTTGGTTTCCGATGTCAAAGGGCATGCAATGTTTTAGTATGTAGTCTTAAATTGTAAACCTTAAGGTCAAGAATGCTCCAACAACCGAACCAGCGCCAGCCACAACCGAAACCATCAAGCAAGCCATGCTTAGCATCTTCAAACAAATCCACCTGCTGCTCCACTTGCAAATCTTCTTCTGCTGAATGTACATCTCCACCGGAAAATAAACCGTCAAAGGCCAAAACCCGAGTGCCCCGATGATCCCCACGACGTCGTTGAAGAAAGGAAACAACATCGATATAACGGTGGTCGTCATCACGAACCCCGTTCTCCAAACCAGTCTAAACATGTTGAGCTTGTACGGACTACGGCGTCCGGGGATCGGGATATTGAACTCTTTTATGATGAAGTAGCTTTCCGGCCATCTTCGGGTCGCCCATTTCTCGACGAATGCGAAAATGGGTTGGCAGAAAACTTGGTATGCTCCCACAAGATGGATTATTATAGCAGCGTTGGCGATATCAAGGAGCCAAAAAGGATTGAAGAAGCCGAAACCGGTGAGGAGATTTCCCGGTGCAAAGTCTCCGAACGAGGCGTAGCCCATGCTGCCACACAACATGTAGAAAGTTGTTGTTATTGCAATACTGAGTTTCGTTGCCTTCTTCATCGTCTTTGCTTCTGCTGGTGGGGATTTGATCGTGTCCTGAATTTCAATAAGAATGACAGAAAATGAATATGCAAAAGCAATGTTGCCAATGGCTTGTAAGCTCCTCCATATCTTTTGAGCTTGTGTAACTGTTCCAATGCTTATTCCCGTAAGACTGCCCTTCAAAGTTTCGCTGGCTGCGACTTTGGCGATTCCGAGACCGAGACCGATGCCGGAATAGGTAAATGACATGACTGCAGCGACGATCGAGAGCCACCATATCTGATCAAAATCCGGGATTTGTGAAAGTAAGATCTCGGAGACACCAAACATGATCATATATGGATTGCTAGACATGTGACAAGGGTTCTTCCCACCACTGTTGTGGAAACAATTAGACCTTTTTATTGCCCTGCAAATGCAACCACCATAGTTATGAATCCTTTTTTTTTTGGATGAAAATCATAACGTTACTCACATCATACTTATAGATGCCGCGATCGTATATCCGATCGAAATGCCGAAAAGATTAAGATACTGAATCAATCCGCATGCCTTCACTTCATATCCACCTATGTGGAGAAAAAGAATCAGTTTTTTGTTATCGTTATTCCAAAAGTTGGTATGATTTCAAGGGGAAAAGGGTACCGAGAATGGAGAGAACGGCGTCGGTGTAGGTATAGTTTCTCTTGCCGGAGGTGGGGTCTCCGGTCCGATAACATTCGGTGAGGAGAGAAGAGGTGTAGTAAGTGACGAAGGAAAACAAAAACATGACAGCAGGGCCAGCAATCCAGCCGAGTTGAGCAACGGCCCATGCTAAAGAAAGAACCCCTGAGCCAATCACCGCTGTTATTATGTGTGCACTGGCGGTGCATAATGTTCCTGCACATCCACTACAAACATGTTCATTTACGTATCTTATCGCATTACTATTCTTTTTAGTTCATTTATAGAAATTACTTGTGAATAATAGATTTTTTTTTTGAAAGAATTTTTTCCACAAGTTTATATACATTTTATTTAGAGTGTTGGGTTGGTTTTATTTTAGGTAAACGACATGTGATCATTTAATTATTAAAAAAATTAATTTAATACTCAATTTTTTAATTTTATCGATTTAATCATTTAACTATTTAAAAAAATCGTCAATCAAGTCACGTGTTGTTTACATTTGATGGAGGAGCTAACATGATAGTTAATAAAATTACTATAATTACATATTTAGTCCTTATTATTTAGACATTTTATCAATTTATTCTTAATTTTAATTTAATTCAATAAATTTAATCATATAGTGACAAATTTGTTCTCTCCTCAACCCAGGGTTGATTCCTCTTAACCCTTTTTCTTCAATTTATTTTTTTCCAATCATATGGTGCTATGTGTCGTCACACCTATCATTAGCGACATATGTTACAATCTAATCAGGAGATTAAATTTACTGAATTAAATTAAAATTAAGACCAAATTGATATAATATGTATAAGTAATGATGACTACAACTATACTTGTATTAGTTTTGTTAACTATCACGCCAATTTCTCTATCAAATGTTAATAGCATATTACTTGATTTGTATTATTTAAACAATTAAATTATAAAATTAATTCAAAGATCGATAATTAAATTATTATCTTCCCACGTAATTTATTCTTTTCCAGATTATTTGGAACACAAACCTTTTTACGATCAAATTATTTTGAAGTCTAGGTTATTTTAGATTTGGGTTATTCATGTTCATCGATTGGTCCTTGAGAGTTGTTTAGTATTTCATTCTCCACAGTCGAGCATATTAGGAATAGATCTGGCTAGAGTAGGTTCGAAGTTTTGTTTCATATTTCCAAGGATTTGAACGAAATATTATATTTAAAATTTGTTATTTAACTCTTTAAAAATAAATTTTATTTTATCTAAAGTAAGTTTAAATTTATAATAATATATCAAATTATATATTATTAACAGGGAAGACGTCCATTTATACTAATGTAAAATTAATTTTACGTATTTTCATGAGTTTTTATAAAATTAATATTTTAACCGTTAAATTTTATAATTGTTTTACATATATATGCATATCAAATTGATTAAAATTAATAATAAAAAATATAATTATATTGATCTATAAATTATATGTGTCATCCACTTAATTTACACTAATATAATTAATTAATTCTTCTCTGAAGTGATAAAAAATATTTGTTTAAAATCTTTATTGATCATTAACAATACACAAACCGAATAAATGCAAGTACTCTAATATAGACCTCTAGCGAAAATGACAATCTCATCTATCACTAAGATCGTTCAATGCTTCTGATCATTATCTTATATCGAATATATATCCTTGCACTTTGAAAAGAATATATGTATCCTTCCAAGGGCAAGTAAACGAAATAAGGAGTGTACCGGTTCGTTTGAGACGACCGTCGTCATCGAAACAGTGGGAGTCATTCTGAGAAGAGATAACCACCGGAACGTCAAACAGTTGGAATGGGTTGACAGCGGCTGGGTTGTGGTCCATGTTTCCACCCCAAATCTGCAAAAAGAAGATATGAATGGGCGAGGCGAGGAGAAACTGGGAGGGAAGGAAGGGTATATATAAAATATATTATAGAAAAAAAAGAAAGAAAGGTAAGTATTGTAGTGGTGTGGGGCGTGTGTACACTGTCCTCCATTGTTGCTGAAAGAGAAAGGAATCAATGCTCTTTTCCTCCTCCCAAGCTTTATGCTTCGGGCAAGCGAGCAGTCAGCCTTCCCTTTTTTAAATTAATTATTAATGGATTCCATTTCCTTTAACACTTAAACTATTTGATATGGATTTCACAGCAAAGATGGCTCAAAATTTTAACCACATATCTGGAATATATGACACCCAATTTCTTTAGATAGGAGCCAGGGTGTTATATATTGAAGTCAGTCAAAATAATGAAATCAATTGGCGAATCTGAAATGATAGGGACGAATACACCATGCACCACATCACATAGTCAAGACTTAGGTCACCATAATATTATAAATAAATACAAGATATGTGATAAGGTAAGATACAACGTGAACAGTAGGGTTTTGAATTACTTTTCATTTTAGTCATTTTATCATTCAATGATAAATGTCGTTATAACATGAAACACTATCATTTTATCAATAAATAGTTAATGTCGTATTTTTTGGTGAATCAAACAACTTCAATGGTAAAGTATTTGTTGTTTTTATTGAGGTATCAGGTTCAAGCATCAAGAATGCTAGGGATATGAGCGTTCAATGTCAAATGATTGACAGTTATATTTAAACAAATATTGTCTTGTACATACCGTAGATTAATAAAAAAATAAATATAGAAATTAAAGTATGCCATGTATGAAAATTACTTGTACAAGACTTTTGTATGGACGTGTGCTTAATCTAATAATTTAAATTTTATGTAAATTAAATAATCATTGTTTAAAAGTTTATTTTCTGCGCCTATATAGGAAGAGTGTGAAAAGTTTTATTTTATGCGCCTATATAGGAAGAGTGTAAATTAAATTATATAACCTCCACCGATATAACTTTCTAACATAACTCATATATTTCTATTGGGTTAACTACACTAATAATCTCTTTTCTTTTCAGCATGTCTTATTTTGGACAAGGATTTTGAAACAGTTATATTGTGGTTATTTACATTATCGATTTATTATATTTTAAGCACGGCTCGTTAACTCTAGCTAGTTTACTAACGTGAAATGGTATTAAAAATGGTTTACCCTTATATTTTAGACAAATACTAATTTGAATCTAAACTTTAAATAAAATACTTAAAGAGTTACACCTATCTTAAAGAGTTAAAGCTATATGAATCCAACAATTTTGCTTAGGCATGCCAATTATTCTAACAAAAATAATTACAGAATTACACCTATCTTAAATAGTTAAAGCTAACTGAATCCAGTCATTTTGCTTAGGCATGCCAATTTTCTAACAAAAATACTTAAAGAGTTGCACCTAACTTAATGAGTTAAAGCTATATGAATCCAATCATATTGCTTAGGCATTCTAATTATTCTAACAAAAAATACTTAAAGTGTTACACCTATCATAAAGAGTTAAAGCTATCTGAATCCAGTAATTTTGCTTAGGCATGCAAATTATTCTAACAAAAATACTTAAAGACTTACACCTATCTTAAAGAGTTAAAGCTATCTGAATCCAATAATTTTGCTTAGGCATGCCAATATTCTAACAAAAATACTTAAAGAGTTACACCTATCTTAAAGAGTTAAAGCTATCTGAATCCAGTCATTTTGCTTAGGCATGCCAATTATTCTAACAAAAAAATACTTAAAGAGTTACTCCTATCTTAAAGCGTTAAAGCTATCTAAATCCAGTCATTTTGCTTAGGCATGACAATTATTCTAACAAAAAACTTAAAGAGTTACACCTATCTTAAAGAGTTAAAGCTATATGAATCCAGTCATTTTGCTTAGGCAAGCAAATTATTCTAACAAAAATACTTAAAGAGTTACACCTATCTTAAAGAGTTAAAGCTATCTGAATCCAGTAATTTTGCTTAGGCATGCCAATTATTCTAACAAAATAACTTAAACAGTTACACCTATCTTAAAGAGTTAAAGCTATGAATCCAATCATTTTTAACAAAAAAAACTTAAATTGTTTTCACCTATCTTAAAAAGTTAAAGCTATATGAATACAGTCATTTTGCTTAGGCAAGCAAATTATTCTAACAAAAATACTTAAAGAGTTACACCTATCTTAAAGAGTTAAAGCTATCTGAATCCAGTCATTTTGCTTAGGCATGCCAATTATTCTAACAAAATAACTTAAACAGTTACACCTATCTTAAAGAGTTAAAGCTATCTGAATCCAGTCATTTTTAACAAAAAAAACTTAAATAGTTACACCTATCTTAAAAAGTTAAAGCTATATGAATCCAATCATTTTGCTTAGGCATGCCAATTATTCTAACAAAAATACTTAAAGAGTTATACCTACCTTAAAGAGTTAAAGCTATCTGAATCCAGTCATTTTGCTTAGGCATGACAATTATTCTAAAAAAAAATACTTAAAGAGTTACACCTATCTTAAAGAGTTAAAGCTATCTGAATCCAATCATATTTGCTTAGGCATGCCAATTATACTAACAAAAATACTTAAAGAGTTACTCATTTCTTAAAGAGTTAAAGCTATCTGAATCCAGTCATTTTGATTAGGCATATCAATTATTCTAACAAAAAAACTTAAGGAGTTACACCTATCTTTAAGAGTTAAAGCTATATGAATCCAGCCATTTTGCTTAGGCATGCCAGTTTTTCTAACAAAATTACTTAAAGAGTTACACCTATCTTAAAGTGTTAAAGCTATCTAATTCCAGTCATTTTGCTTAGGCATGCCAATTATTCTAACAAAAATACTTAAAGAGTTACACCTATCTTAAAGAGTTAAAGCTATCTGAATCTAGTCATTTTGCTTAGGCATGCCAATTATTCTAACAAAAATACTTAAAGAGTTACACATATCTTAAAGAGTTAAAGCTATCTGAATCCAATCATTTTCCTTAGGCAAACCAATTATTCTAACAAAAATACTAAAGAGTTACACCTATCTTAAAGAGTTAAAGCTAACTGAATCCAGTCATTTTGCTTAAGCATGCCAATTTTTCTAACAAAAATACTTAAAGAGTTACACCTATCTTAAAGAGTTAAAGCTATTTGAATCCAAACATTTTGCTTAGGCATGCCAATTATTCTAACAAAAATACTTAAAGAGTTACACCTATCTTTAAGAGTTAAAGCTATATGAATCCAATCATTTTGCTTAGGCATTCCCTTTATTCTAACAAAAATACTTAAAGAGTTACACCTATCTTAAAGAGTTAAAGCTATATGAATCCAGTCATTTTGCTTAGGCATGCCAATTATTCTAACAAAACACCTTAAAGAGTTACACCTATATTTAAGAGTTAAAGCTATCTGAATAGAGTAAATTTGCTTAGGCATGCATATTTTTCTAACAAAAATACTTAAAGAGTTACAACTATCTTAAAGAGTTAAAGCTATCTGAATCCAGTCATTTTGCTTAGGCATGCAAATTATTCTAAAAAAAATACTTATAGAGTTACATCTATCTTAAAGAGTTAAAGCTATCTGAATCTAGTCATTTTGCTTAGGCAAGCCAATTATTCTAACAAAAATACTTAAAGAGTTACACCTATCTTAAAGAGTTAAAGCTATCTAAATCCAACCATTTTGCTTAGGCATGCCAACTATTCTAACAAAAAAACTTAAAGAGTTACACCTATCTTAAAGAGTTAAAGCTATATGAATCCAGTCATTTTGCTTAGGCAAGCAAATTATTCTAACAAAAATACTTAAAGAGTTACACCTATCTTAAAGAATTAAAGCTATCTGAATCTAGTCATTTTGCTTAGGCATGCCAATTATTCTAACAAAATAACTTAAACGGTTACACCTATCTTAAAGAGTTAAAGCTATCTGAATCCAATCATTTTTAACAAAAAAACTTAAATAGTTACACTTATCTTAAAAAGTTAAAGCTATATGAATCCAGTCATTTTGCTTAGGCAAGCAAATTATTCTAACAAAAATACTTAAAGAGTTACACCTATCTTAAAGAGTTAAAGCTATCTGAATCCAGTCATTTTGCTTAGGCATCCCAATTATTCTAACAAAATAACTTAAACAGTTACACCTATCTTAAAGAGTTAAAGCTATCTGAATCCAACCATTTTGCTTAGGCATGCCAATTATTCTAACAAAAATACTTAAAGAGTTAAAGCTATCTGAATCCAACCATTTTGCTTAGGCATGCAAATTATTCTAACAAAAATACTTAAAGAGTTACACCTATCTTAAATAGTGAAAGCTAACTGAATCCAGTCATTTTGCTTAGGCATGCTAATTTTTCTAACAAAAATACTTAAAGAGTTACACCTATCTTAATGAGTTAAAGCTATATGAATCCAATCATTTTGCATTGGCATGCCAATTATTCTAACAAAAATACTTAAAGAGTTACACCTACCTTAAAGAGTTAAAGCTATCTGAATCCAATCATTTTGCTTAGGCATGCCAATTATTCTAAAAAAAATACTTAAAGAGTTACACATATCTTAAAGTGTTAAAGCTATCTAATTCCAGTCATTTTGCTTAGGCATGCCAATTATTCTAACAAAAATACTTAAAGAGTTACACCTATCTTAAAGAGTTAAAGCTATCTGAATCCAGTCATTTTGCTTAGGCATGCTAATTATTCTAACAAAAATACTTAAAGAGTTACACCTATGTTAAAGAGTTAAAGCTATCTGAATCCAGTCATTTTCCTTAGGCAAGCCAATTATTCTAACAAAAATACTAAAGAGATACACCTATCTTAAAGAGTTAAAGCTAACTGAATCCAATCATTTTGCTTAAGCATGCCAATTTTTCTAACAAAAATACTTAAAGAGTTAAACCTATCTTAAAGAGTTAAAGCTATTTGAATCCAGTCATTTTGCTTAGGCATGCCAATTATTCTAACAAAAATA